TTCCGAACTTTTAATACAACTAAATTATAAACTTAGTCAATAAAGGTTTCATATAGAAGAAGAAATAATTAGAAAGTGCAAAATTTAAATATAAATTGATCATTATCATTTCACGTTATTGATCATTTTACTTATATTTAAGCCGGTTTCATTGTCTCCATAAAAGCTTTCGAGAAGTTTTCATATTCGCAATGTGATTACAACAAAATCTTTTTACTGCTTGACATTATGGATAATACAATGGTTTATTAACAGTTATTTTTGAAGAGGTAATCGAGGCTCCATTTGGCAATTATACTTTTCATGTCTTTCGGTACGAGGATAGCGCATGATAGACGTATCTATGACAACTGCAGTCATAATAAATCGTTTATTACGTTTCTAGTCACGTGTTCACCGACGCAGTGCATCTTGTTACGCGGTTTTACAATTCAATATAGAATTTCATTCATTTTTTTCTAGCCGATAATAGTTTCTTAAAAATTATTTTACGAATCATTATATGTATTTGCATATAAATTCTATGATAATTACATAATTTATCGTAAACATTAAGTATTAAAAGTATTAGTATTAAGGTCATCAAATAATGTCATAAGTGCATATTAGCAATGAACGTGCAAGGTTAAAGATACAAGAAAAAAAAATTTACAGATTAATTTAATGATATCATAAGTCATCCTTGCACTATGATTAAATTTGTTTAATATTAAAAATTAATCTTTTCTTTTTCTTATTTAACAGATTATAATTTAAGATAATGAATGATTAATTGGATTATAAAATAAAATTACAAATTTAAACAAAAAAAAAACAAGATACTAAAGAGAAAAACTAAAAGCTTCGTTAGAAATAATTATAAATAAATCTAATAATATGTGTAATAAAACTATTTATTAACAACCTTATTTTAACAATTTGAAATGTGTTAAAATGGAATAATTGAGTTTCTCATTAAATATAGATAATTCGTAAACAATTTAATTTTTCATTGATAAGTACAGTCTGCGATATAAAACAATTGCTTAAAAGTATAATCAGATTGATGTGATAACGTAAGAAAGATGACTAATGGCGTAAATTTCAATTTACAAATAACATTTCGAGTATAAGCTTCGATTCTCTTTACATTTGAGATAAAATAATGTCAATCATTTAGTTACTGCTTCGTTATCAGCTATACAATTATCTAAATTCCTGAATATAAAAAAGGTAAGGAAAACTTGAAATAGAAATAAAATAAATCACTTTCAATAGTCATACAATTTTTGCAATTTACCGTTTTAAAAAACAATTTGCTTAAAGTAAGGAAATATTCATTAGTTTGTATACAAGTAGACTTACAAAAAGGCAATTACTCCTGGAATCATAAGGCCTCCGCCGACGAGAAAGAACGTCCCAGGAAAGTTATTGACGGTCGCACCGTAAATGGAGCTGTACATGGGTCCATAAACTAAAGGAACAATAGCTTCGCATACTCCAAACAGCGAATTCACCTTACCTGAAATCGTAATTTCTTTACGAGATTTTTAAGTCGACGATCTAATTGCGTCTATGCCAAAAAACTATGGAGCTTTATGCAAGCAAGTAAATACGTTCATATATCAGTCGACTCAGTAGAAATAATCGTTGCTGGTAAGACGCCGCAATAATCATCGGAAACACCAATTAGTGTTCTTATGCACTTTAGTTCTTTAAAATCATTGAAATTATATCTTTTGGATTACTTATTTCTTCTTTTTTTTTTTTTTTTTTGAACTTTTTAAATTATGTATTATACATTTCATTAAACTTAAATCCTTTAACATTTAAATTTTACTGTGCAAGAAATAAGTAGGAACTCCAACTTTTATACGCATATACACATGTACGTTAAATAAATTTAAAAAACATTATACATGTGAAAAGTACACATAGAATACAATATAATAATTACAACGATATTTTATTGCGACGAAATTTAAAAAATAACTATTCTATATTATCTATTCTATTATATAATATTTATTTTTATCGTGATTTATTATTTTTTAAGAAAAATTTTAATTTCCGTTTCAAATATTTCATGAAATTATCGTAATGGTTCCTTAATAAAAATGACTATAAATATCAATGACTGGGAACCTCATTTTTATACTAAACTCACATAACAACGCGGAACGTAGTAAAGTGTAATTATCACAACAACAACAAAATTATTCCCGAACATAAAAATTTTAAAAAGATGCAGTTCACTGGTGTATCGCGTTGACAGATCGCCTACCTAATTATACAATTATTCTGATAATAAATTTCATAACACACGAAGAAGTGCTAATGGCTTTTAAAATCACTTTAAATTCATTATCAATAAATTTATACCTTAATATTTTAAAAATATTCATACTCTTAAGACAAGAAAATATTTAATTGCACTCCTACAATCTCATTAAAGTTTCCTGTAATTTTCATTTACTTTTCATTATAATTACAATAATTATAATAATGTTTTATTGTTCTATAATAGTATGTAATTTTGTCGAATCTTATTTTACCTCAAATTAAATCACTGATACAACGTTAAAGTTAAATGCATTGCTTGAAGAAAAATTAAAGGAAAATTACTGCATAAGTATTCAAAGAAAGTTAATCATATTTCTAAATTATTATAATCAATAGTTTATTACGCGCTTTCCTTATGCATACTAAAATATGAAAGTAAGAAGATCAATAAAATTATTTGTATGAAAGGAGTTTTTAAAATTCGTTTTCAAATAATACAATAGTGACGAAATGCAACGGAAAATGAATGGAGTAAAGCTTGATGAAGCATCGCATAAATCAGTCGCGGCTATTCTAATTGAGCTGTCCGATCTTCAAAAAGCATTTATATACAGCTTAGAAAAAAAAAGAGAAAAACAATGAATTAAAGAAAAAAAGGGAAAAAGAAAGGAAGAAAAAGTTAAAAGCACCAAAGTGATTTTTAAACCATTTAGAAAGCATGTTTAGGCAATCTGTTAGCCAAAGTAAGGAACGTGTGTTTCTTTCATACATTCCCCACCGAAAGCGAATCATACTCGTGCAATTGTCACAATCGGTTGCGACAATAATCAAAAAGCACAGCTTCGCAAGCTCGGACTCCCACTTCCATAACAACGACGCACTTCCGGCCGGCTGGAAGTTCCAGTCGCGTCTATTTCGAGATCAGCTGGTCGAGGGAGTTAAGTCGCGCGCGCGAGGATAACTGATTCTTCTTGCGGCGTAAATATTCGAGGCTGCGGCCTCGCGCGCTCAAGCGCGCGGATTATCGCATAAGCGAGACGGAGAAACGCGCAAAAGGCTCTCCTCGCCCACTTACCCAGCTCGTCGGGAGGAACCAGCTTCGAGGTTATCGAGCGCATCACTATGAACGACGTGCCGTTTATGATCTCGACCAGCGGCGCTGGAACACAAAGAGATAATGCATTTAGTATAAACACTTTTCCAACTGCTTTTCTTTTTATTCTATTCATTGGCATTTCCTTCTATATAATGTGGAAAAGACTTTTGTCTCTTTGGCATCTTTTTAATCATATCATTCGGAGACAATCAGCCTCGATAACATATTCATAGTATTTTATTGTTACTGTTTATAATAAGTTAATAATCATTTTTTAGAATTTTTAACTACGTGTAGAAAAAAATTTGAAGAATAAACATCATGTGATTCAGTGTTTGTTTTTCTAAAAAAAAGGGAAATTGTAATTAATCAGCTTCGGCATCTTTATGGCTATGTAATATTAAATAAAAAAAATTATAATACTCTATAAATGTAAGAAGATATTATGTAATTTAGTTAATTTAATATCAAAGTGTAAAGAAAATAGAAATTCTTGGTGCTGTCTTATAACGGCTAAGAAATAAGTTTGAATCGAAGTAGATAATAACAATATCAGGTCAGACATCTATTTATTAAACGTTTCAATTATAATTACCCTAATATCTTTAATTAAATTATTTTAATTTTTATAGAAATTGTGAATTTATCTTTTACTCCATTCTCCGATTATGATCAATTATAATTTATAACAATAAACTATAAAAATATGTAGATAAATACAAAAGCCTTACTTTTAAGTAACATTTAATATAAAATGTTACGATAAATTAGAATCTTATAAGTAAATGTTAATTATACGAGTAAAATATAAAATAAAATTAAGTTTTTTTTTGTCAAACATGTGATATTTAGAATATCGAATTCATTTCTATTCCGGATTAACTAAACTCTGATAAAATAAAACATTCTTTTAAAGAAATAAAAAATATACTATAACACATTAACAAATCATAGACTTTGTTACGATATTAAGCTATAAATGAGTATTTTAAAGCTAATTATATTTATTCATGGAAAAAAAAGTGAATGAGTAGATAATGAAAATTGTGGAAGACTGTAGGTTCATAGTTAAAGGAATGAAGATTTATTATTTATTAATTTCTTTTTTAAAATCGTAAGTAGATAATGAAAATTGTGGAAGACTGTAGGTTCATAGTTAAAAATCTTTTAGATACGAAATACTCCTTAAATTGTAAAAATATTTAAATTACAAAAGAACAAGAAAATAAATTTGTATAGAATATATAAAAATATATAAGAATATATTTTATAAGAAATATACATAGTAATTTTTTTATTTATTATTTATTATTTTTCTGATTAATTAGTAAAATAATTCTTTTGAGATAAAGACTGAATTGAAGTCGGCATAAATTTTAACTTAATACGATTCGTTTATAATTTATTTTAATAATAATAGTAATCATTCTAATAGAATCGTTAAATTAACAGGAATTTTTATTAGTTCAAATTGTTTATTGAAATATGATTTATTAATGAACAATCAATCTCAAGCAGTGAACAGTCGATAATGTTGACATATTAAAAAAAAAAAAGATCATAATAAACTAATAGTACATGCTAACCTTATGATAAAATCTGGCTATTTTTTTTTTTCATTCATAATTTCATAACTTATCGAACGTCTTCGTGAATATGCAAATAATAATCCTGTTACCACAAAGTTTGAAATGTCTTTTATAAATTCAAAGAAAACATTGGAGAATTATCTGAAGCCCATTTATAATTAACGTATTCGACGTATATAATTGACGTCGTAAACTCGTTGCAAACTCAAATTGTAAACAAAACTCTTATGCTAAAAGTTTGTCTCATTTTAAAGTAAGATATTCCAAATAATTTAGAATTGTAAGGATCTCTTGACTCACCTATATAAATCATCCAGTCCGTCGTAGAGAAAGCATAAACGAAGCTTGCAAGTATCTTACTCACGCAGCTTAGAACACCAAGAAGTGCATCGTCCATCTTCAAAAAATGACTGAAGACTCCCACAGCAAACAAAGTACCTGAGGAATTTTTCCTTGAAATCAGATTCTTTAATAATTTACATGCCAATATACTTTAATTAGCTATTTGCAACTTTTATCATTCGATAACTATTATTTTACAGGCATTATTACTCAATGTCAGAAAATCATAGTATAACTGATTTATTTACGCTAATTAATAACTCGGATCATAAATTTACTCAGGACGTACATATTATGAATTATTATGGACATTATAAATAAGAGCCGTGGTTGATCATTTAGTTGTAATAGTATGAGAAAATGTCATTCCGTACAACTTATCAAATATACAAGTATATTGACTTTATATAAGATTTATCTAATCGGAAGATGGCTGTAAATAGTTTTAGGAACTTGTAACGTAAATTAAACGTATTAATAAAAAATCGTAAAATCAAGCGGAAAATAATTTGATCATAAATTTTGTAAGTTAAAGGTTTTTTTTTATTTTACAACTGATTAATTGAGTCATAGATTTTGAATTGTTATTATTTGGAAAGAGTATTATTTTGAATACTTTTCTGATTTAATAGAGCCTGAGATATCGATAAATTAATCGAATTTGTTTGGTCTGTTTTGGTCAATGATTTTAGAAATCTTCGCAAATAAAATATGTAATAACCTTCTGTTTTTCCATAGTAGCATACGATGAATTACATAATAACAAAAACAAACTATAATTTAAGAGTATTTAATTCATTTTAACGGCAACTCCTTACATTTATATTAAATAATAATAAATATTGCATTTAAATCGTAGTAAGTATATATGTGCTTTTATGATACTCACCTATGAGATTAATCACCATACTATAAGTGGAAAAGAAACTAAATTGGACCTCGTTCCAATTGAAACGATATCTCGTAAAAAGATACATTACTGCCATTTCTCCTACAAAATGCAAACAAAATTTTCATTAATTACATCAAAAGTATGGATCAATCTTATTAAATTTTATTCAAATAAATCAAAATTTTTCGATTGTACACATATAGCTGAAGCTATAATGAAGGGAATTTTCGTGAAACTTGTCGCAACAGTGTATTATATTATTCGATAAATGCATATATTTTTAAGGTTTTTTGAATTAACAAAGTACTTTACCTATTTTATAAAATTCATATTGATTTTCAAGCCTTCTTGACTTTTTAATGTTCAAGTATTATTTTTCATAAAAGTTGCAGTAATTGAAATAAAGCATAAATCATCATAATTTACCCCCCCCCCCCGCCCCGATAAATCAAGTAAATCAGTAAACAAAAATTAGAATTACTAGAATAGGTATATTTTATATATAACCTACTACAATGATATGTAATCACCAAACTACAAATGTTAAATATTATTTTCTTTGTGGTTGTCAAAGTAGAGTAATATTTATATCACTGCATGATAATAATTTATATGTGGACTGCTTGTAGAAAATATATTATTAAGACCAGTCAGTTTACTTTATTGCTATTAGAATGCTATTCATAATCATTTATTGATCGCCTCGTTCGTATTAAATAATTCTAATTTCATTCATAACTACACCTATACTTTGTTGAATATTCTTGTATTTTGTAATAAATAGTTAATATTCATTTTCAAATATAAAGATATAGTAGATAATAATCTCTGAATGTGTTGTTAATTAAGTAAATAGTTTAGAGTATTTATTAACAATTGTTGTAAATATATTAAACATCTAAAATTAGTTAAAAAGTAATAAAATCTTTTAAGCTTTGAATTTCCACAAAGTAAAAATCACTTACATTTTTAATCCTTTTCTTTATTTATCCATCCTAAAGTTATAATATATAAAATCCAAGAGACTTAAATAAGCGGTAAATGCTTTTACGAAATTCTAACTAAAAAATAAAAATGCTAATATTTATATTTTTTATGAAAAACAAAATTATCTATCAATTATTATTTATCATTATTTATAATTAAACATACAAATTTTATATATTTCTATTTAGGAATATACATTCTTTTGAATACAAAAACATAAAAGTTATTCTGATCTCATTCAATAAAAAAAATCTCATATATATATATATATATATATACATACAAATTAAAGCATCTAATTTAATTGATTTTAAGTAAGTATTTTAAGCAATGCTAAAATCAAAGACACCAGCATGTATAAAAAAAGTAAGTACTGCTATTCTTTAGTATTAGCAAATACTCAAATTAAAAGAAAAATCAAACAAATGAGTTCCTCCCAATGACAACTTACGGTTTCGGTAATTCAGAAATTTAATGAATATATATATATATATATATATATATATATATATATGTCTATTGGAGATTTTTTCATATTGCTGAAATATAAATTTCATTTAAATAAATAGTTTAAATAAATTTTAGTAAATGAAATGTAAATATTCACCGATACAGATTGCTACGTTCCTTTAAAATATTAATATCCCATATAAATAATGCACAATGAACAATCGTATAAACTAATATCTGTCTAATATTCTACAGATCTGTGTTATGAAATCATAATAAAGTTACTATCGAAATTATAATTGTTAAAATCATAATGTCTCTAAATAAATAAAATATTATGAAAATTATATTGAAAAATATTCAAAATATGATTAAATATTATAGAGTCGTTATGATCGATATTTTTGAATAATTCAACTTATATAGTATTCATTACATTTAATTGCTTTTCATTCAAAACTTTCACGTGCCATACTATAATATTAAAATAATTCCCTTAAAAGTAAGTAAAGCCATTAACGATTCAAATAGAGAACTACAATACGACCCACGTACTCCTCCTGTAATCTATTCGAAAATCGTGCACTGCAGAAGCCGGAAATCATTTCTCAAGCATTGAAGCAATTCATTTCTTTTTTTTTCCAATTTTTTCGAATCATGTCGTTTTATTTATGCGCCAATCTTACGTAAAAATGAAATTGATGCTCATTGCACAACAGAGAAGGTTAATTATAAGTTCTATGTTAGTGCACTTCCGCCATGCAATGCCGATACTATCTATCACAATTATTATGTTTATTTTCATTAATTATTATATTTTGTTATAAACAAGAAATTTCTATATATATATATATATATATATATATATATATATGTATGTATGTATGTATGTATGTATGTATGTATGTATGTATGTATGTATGTATGTATGTATGTATGTATGTATGTATGTATGTATAATGATATATTCGACAAATTTTAGCACGTCACTTTGAAAATCTACAATCCCATTATCGTAATGGATAAGAAAAATAAATACAAATTCGTCACAAGTATTTGAAAAATATTATATAATTATACAACTTGCTGCATTAATATGTAGTAATATTAATATTCTTATTGTTAAATGGTATTATATTGTTTTGAGTTCTTTGATCTAAAAAAAATTTAATCTGAAATTTTTTTGTATACTTTCTGGTAAATTTTAATAAGTGCTATTTTTACTAAAAACTTTGTCAATTACAATTTTATCGCAATTGTCTGAAAGAAATTGAACATTATAATATTATATTTGCTTGGTTTGCACAATTTTCATAGAATAGTGATTGATTAAATATTAAATACCAGAGAAAATGTTAGAATTTTATTTTCATATTAAATAACCAATCGATTTGAGAAAATTTATTTTGAAGATGAAGTTTTTTAAAATAAAGACGTGTTCAAAACTTTTGCTTTCGCTGAAAACCCGTCGAAAATATATAATTTAAATATTTCCCTAATTATCTCTCTATACATTGAAATGCATGATATGCACGGGTACAAACGTTTACGCGTTCATGTGTCAGATCATTGGGATCGCGTGTCGTTGTCACTTAAGGACTTCCGGTATTTAAAATTGCTCTTAAATGAGACTTCTTTTACGGTTATTAATTTCCTACCTAGAGATACATGGATAAAACAGCTTTCTTTATCCTCACGACTCTTCTCACCTCAAGATTGACTTTTAGTATTATAAACTAGAAATTTCCATATGAGACTGTAATAACATTGATATTTCACAAATTATCATGGCTGATATACAAAATTTCGATCTATTCATGATACTCGTGCTCAATTATACAATTTGTTCATACAATTATTGAAAAAAGCATATTCAGTCGTACAAACTATTCAATATTGGGGAAAAAAAAAACCTATTTAATAGACAACAAGGCTACAATAAAATAATTGTGGAAGATTCATTATCATATTTTATAGATTTCTTTATACATAAAGCATATTCACGATATTTCTTAGTAAAATGAGTCATAAAGCCATTTTTTAAATTAAAAAAATAAGGAAGATGTTATTTGGAAATAGTATAATAACTCTATGTTTGTCTATTTAAAAAATTAACAAGTTCGCCGTTTCAATATGTACAAAGAGCGAAATGCTAACATTGTTATGTATGCGCATTCTTAAAGACTAATTATTCTGTAAAGGAAATTCCAAACTTTTGAATGTACCATAATTGATAAATGATCAATATCATTACTTGTACTTTATTATTCGTATTATTCTTTGTATGTATTAATTAACATTAATAAACTAAATTTTGTTTATAAGTTATATTAATAAATGAATTATAGACTATTGCCATTATAATTGTATATATTTTTAAGATGTATAAAAAAAGTTAATTAAAAGGTAAATATTAAATTAACTTAATTTGGTTAAAAAAAAAAAGGTAAATAAAATGGTTCAAATAATTAAGAAATAACATTTTTAGTTGAATAATTAATTTTCGTATACTTTTTTTTTAATAATCACAATTATCCGAATAAATGATAAACTTAAGACTCTTTGAAAATATATTTTTTCAAGCGCATCAAACTGTGTAATATATTTATATGACATATGCATAAATGGATAAATAAACATTATAATTTTGATAATTGAATGTATGTATACTTAATTTTTTTTATTATTAATTTTATATTTTCTATTATTATTATTACTTTTTTGATATTTCCATCAATATCCTTTTGACATTTTTAAAATAAAATCAACAATGTTTTCTTTTAAAGGATGAAAATAAAAGTTCAATAGTTTATTGATTTTATAATGATATGCATTTAAGGAGTACGAGATAAGTTAAATAATACGTAATATAGTATAAAGTATTGTTCACGATGCTTCTACATCCAAAATTAATACATATTTTTAATTTTTTTCTTATGCGCCAGTGTTATTTATGGACAATATTTTATCGTTTCACTAGTTATCTCACTTTATGAAATTATTAGACAGAAAATTAGGCATAGTTCTTTTGGTATTTAATAGAAAATTTTCTATAGATATCATTTCAATGAAATTTTCAATTTATTTGTAATATAATGAATTAGACATGCTTTAGTTGTTCTTTCAATATTTTCGATAATTATTATAAAAATTTGCTTTAAACTGTTCTTCATTATAATACTTATAAAATCTAATATCTACATATTTTGGACTCCATAACATTTTTATACTATTATAAATATAAATTTACATTCTGCATTCATTTGATACAATTATTTATGAAGAATTTACAGAGGATGAAAGGGTGAGAGAGGAGAGAGAGAGAGAGAGAGAGAGAAGATGTACTACAATGCTGAAGTGAACGAATTGCTTATTACATTATAAAAGTATATTTCTTACATTTGTAGATGCATCACAGATACTTGTTTAACGTGTATAACTTAAATAACGGTAAAAACTAGAATTGCTATTTAAAATTGCTTTACAAAGTATAATACTATATATGGACGATTTTCTTCAATCTAAAATTAGTCATACAAAAGGAAATACTGCATCCTTTGTTTTTGTAAAAAGACTTTTTGAAGAAAAAAGAAGAATAAAATATTTTTCATGAGACTGCAGACATGAATTCAAAGACTCCAGGGTTGTGATTACAGCATCTG